GCGGGGGTGGGCCGGGCGACTGTGGCTCCGAGTCTTCGGGCTCTCATCTCATCCCGGAGCCGAGCCCGGAAGCTCTGACCAGTGAGCACGGACTTCCCAGGTGCGGGCAGGAGGGCCGGCGCTCCCAGGGCCTCTCTTGCCTTTGTCCCTGTTTTGCAATGTGGGTATAATGAAGAAACCACGGTCACCCCTGACCCACTGCTCGCCCGGAACCTGTGGAGTGTTCCAGGCATGTTTCTAGGAACGGCAGTACCCCCGTTCCTGCCTTTCCAGTTAGGAAACTGCGTCTGTCCGTGTGGGCCAGCGTGTGCCTGCGCCGCCGTGTGGGGTTCCTGGCCGCACTCACCCCACCTGCCCGCCCGCCCGCAGGGAGCTGGAAGAGCAGCACGGCGTCCACTGCAACATGACGCTGCTCTTCTCCTTCGCCCAGGCCGTGGCCTGTGCCGAGGCTGGCGTGACGCTCATCTCCCCCTTTGTGGGCCGCATCCTGGATTGGCACGTGGCAAACACCGACAAGAAGTCGTTCGAGCCCCTGGAAGACCCCGGTGAGCTGCCCTTGAAGCTGCCAGGGTGAGGGAGCAGTGAGGTGCCCGTGCACCTGCCTGCCCTTGGAGCGTGCCAGGGGTGTGCCCAGTGTGGGTGCAGGATGGGCATGGGGGCGGGCGGGAAAGTGCCGCGAGTGGGCACTGGGACAGGCAAGGCTGGCGTCCGCCCAACCATCCGAGACATGGCTCGGTCCCCCCCAGGAGTGCAGAGTGTCACCAAAATCTACAACTACTACAAGAAGTTCGGCTACAGGACCATCGTCATGGGCGCCTCCTTCCGCAACACGGGCGAGATCAAGGCCCTGGCGGGCTGTGACTTCCTCACCATCTCGCCCAAGCTCCTGGGCGAGCTACTCAAGGACACCACCAAGCTGGTGCCCGTCCTCTCTGCCAAGGCGGGTAAGACCTGGTGCCAGCTGCGGCTGCTCGCCCCGCGCCATCGTGGCCCTGCACGGAGCTGCAGACCCTTCCAGTCGAGGGACCGGCTCAGCTCAGGGGTAGCAGAGGGTGACGTCAGCGCAGGCTGGGTGTTGGCTCCCTCCAGTCGTTGGCGGGGTAACCGCGGGGAACTGAGGGTGGCCTGTGGGAGAGGCTGCACAGCAGGGGGTGAGGTAGCCCTGAGCCCGAGGCCGGGCAGGCAGGGACGCAGGGATTGGGGCAGTGTGGAAGGTGTGGTGTACGGCCCCCAGCCCAGGCCAGCGACCTGGAGAAGATCCACCTGGACGAGAAGGCCTTCCGCTGGCTACACAACGAAGACCAGATGGCCGTGGAGAAGCTCTCGGACGGCATCCGCAAGTTTGCAGCCGACGCCGTGAAGCTGGAGCGGATGCTGATGGTGAGCAGTTCTTGGGGTACTCGGTGTGCCCTGAGCCCTGAGCCCAGGCCTGGGTATCTGTGTGGAAGTCGGGGCACCAGGTGGAATTGCGACTTTGTGTAAAGAGCCTGGGTCCTACCGAGGCCATCTTGGGCAAGGGTCCCGGGGCTGTTCCGGGGGCTGCCAGGTCCTGGCCCCTGGCCCGTGTGGTGATCTGCCCCAGGGCCGGCCGGCTCCTGATACAGGAGACAGGGTGGTGAGGGGCGGCCTGCAACCCACAGTATGCTTGTTTTTAGGAGCGGATGTTCAGTGCGGAGAATGGGAAGTAGGTGCACCTGCAGGACCCCGATCTGCGCTGAGTCGGGGCTCTGGTGGCACATGGCTTATGGTGAAGCTGGCATTTTTACCAATTGGAGCAGGCGTGGATCAAAGATTTCTGATTTTATGTGAAGTTTTGCTTACAGCATTAAAGCAGTCACTTTTCTTGTATGTTTCACCTGGCTGTCTCTGTCCTCTTTGTCTCCTCAGCACTGGTCACCTTGGCTGTCGGCTATGACTCGAGCCAGCACTGGGGGACAGGGCTC